CTCGTTCATCGGAAAAGCTCTTGCATCCGTTCGTTCGATGTGTTTGAGTCAAATTACTTAGTAAGTCCGGCTGTCACGCAAAGAACTATACCATGTTGAATCTCTCTCTCTCTCTCTCTCTCTCTCTCTCTAACAGACAATCCACCTGTAGCACGGAAAGAAAGCTTGACGCGGAACGGGTTATGGTCCGAGCACCTAGAGTCAGACGCCTGAATCAGCTCCGAGCTCGGTCGACAGGAGAACTAAAGGCCTGGTAATGACAGGTGGTGGCGGCAGGGAAAAGGAGGGCAGGCAACAGGCGGGGTAAGAGGGAAATCACGGGCCCGTCAATCTGTGAAGCGAAACCCACAGCAACAGACCTTCCTCACTCCAAGAAGCACAGTCGATGTCATGAAGCATTTTTGGACGGAAGAGCGCAAGGGAAAGGAAAACAGGAGCCCAGGACAGGAGCCTCAGAAACACTTACTCCTTTCGTGCCTCCATAACCTTAAACATTGCCATCCATTGATGCGCCAAGACGGCGAAGACAACCGTCAGGATCACATATCCGAAATCGGAATGAAGGGTAATGGTCGGGATATCATCCATTTGGGGGGGGGGAGGACGCGTTTCGAGGTTGGAGAAATGGAAAGAAGCACGGGTGGGATAGGCGATAGCGGAGGTGGGATTGAAAGACGTGCGTGCACACGTGAAAAAGGAGAAAGCACTTGCACTACAAAAAACGAGCGGAGCGGCCACATAAACAGTGTTCAGGAATAAACAGGCTCTTGTGTTGGGAATGATAGGATAGCGGAAGGAAGGGCGGTTTCGATTAGATATTTATCAGTATCAGGAATTTGGGGTTTGTTGTTTTGGTAGGTAGATTGTTTTTATTTGGGCAAAAGTTCAACGTTCCATTCCTTATGGGTTGGGAGGTGGTCTCATATTCCAGGACACCCGCGGCTCACAGTTCACACACTGACTGGCCTCTACAACACCCTGGACTTCTCTAATACTATAAAGGAAGGAGCCCGTCTCGCCTGATGGTCCCACGCGAGACACCGCTCCCGGGTGCGGGACAATTGTCGGTGGGCCCCGGGGGCGGTGTTTAGTTCAGCGGCAGTGACCTGAAGTGCGGGGAGCGGTTACGGGTGGATGCGAGCCGAGGGGCGGCGGTTCATGGGGCGGTGGGTGGAAGTATGCGGAGCGGTTTGGTGCCAGTGTGAACGGTTTCGGGCGGTGCGGGCCCAGGGGCGGCGGTTTGTCGGGCCGTGGGTGGAAGTATGCGGACCTGAATCGAATCGCTTGCGCATTCGAAGTCGCTCGAGCGGTTCGTTCGCCGGGCTTGCGCATTCGAAGCAACGGGAGTACCGCATTCGAAGCAATGAGAGTCTTTGTTCGCTATGGGAGTCTTCATTCGCTGTGGTGAGTGTGCATACATCACCGCAGCGCAATCGAATGTGTGTGTTATCTATTGTATATATGATGTGTTGCATGGGAGGGGACAGAGCACAAGTGTAGTGGTGAGGAAGGGAAGCAGGAGGTGTCAGAAGTCATCGAGTGATAGTCGCACCGAGAGTACAATATGGCTGCGACGGGGGAGGTTGTCGTGAGGGGTAAAGGAGGGGAACAAAGTGGTGAAGAAGGGGAGGAGGGACTGTCAGCGGTCGATCGAACTGTTCGTTAGTCAGCAGCGATACGACATTGGTGACATGGCTGATCAAGGTATGTCTCTCTCTGTCGTTCTTTCTCTCTCTTTCTCTCTATCGATTAGTGTGGGACGTGCATGATGTTACTTTTTTTCTTCTTTTTTTTTTCAATCGGCCGTCACCGAAGTGTGATCTGGATGACGATCCCCCACTCGATCATGAAATCCGATTGCCTAATTTCGTGATGCACGGGATGGGGGGAGGTAGGGAGAAACACGGAAATTTGTTGAGGAGTCGGGTGAGATTGAGAGGGGGGGAGGGGGAATGCCCTGGGCGGGGAGGATTCTCGATCGTGAATGGATGGGGAGGGAGGATCGACGGAGCGGGGAAATTGATTCGGTTGCTAACGTGGCCGCACGAAGAGGGGTAGCAGGAAGATGAAGAGGAGCCAGGTTGGCTTGCGTGCGAGGGAAGACGCGCAAAAGTGTTGCTGATACGAAAGGGACTGTTGATCGCGAGAGCTAAGACCGGGAGATCAACGGGGAGGGGGGAAGGGGGGGAGCGAGACACGAAATCACGATGGGGAGTCGGGTTAGATAGCGGGGGGGTATGACGAATGCTCTGGGGGGGATGGAAGAACTCTCACTCATGAATGGATGGGGAGGGATAATCGACGGGGCAGGGAGGTCGGGATCACAAGGGAAATCGGGATGGGTAGAGAACTGGGAATGGCGCGGGAAGTCAGGTTGGGGAAAGAAGTCAGGATACGAAGGGAAGTCGGGATGGGAGGCAAGTGGGGATCCGAGAAGGGATAGGGGAAAAAAGTCGGGATCGGGAGGGGAGACGGGACAGGGACACACTACAGTAGCATCCTGTATCTGACCACGATATGGGGGAAATGGTTGTTTTGCTTTTTTTTTTTTTTTTTCTTCACGACCTCACGGCAGACAGAGGGCACACTGTCCTTACGGGCCCATGGAATGTATCTCGCTAATAAGTGTAGGACTTGCATGATGTTGTTTTTTTTCTTTTTTTTTTCTTCAATCGGTCGTCACCGAAGTCTGATCTGGATCGCGATCCGCCACTCGATTATAAAATCCGATTGCCTGATTTCGTGACGCACAAGATGGGGGGAGGTAGGGAGAAACACGGAAATCCGATGGGGAGTCGGGTAGGATTGAGAGGGGAAGAGAGAAAAAGGGACAGAGAGAGAGAGAGAGAGAGAGAGAGAGAGAGAGAGAGAGAGAGAGAGAGAGAGAGACAGACAGACAGACAAACAGGGGAGAAGGAGAGAGAGAGGGAGAAGGAGAGAGAGAGAGAGAGAGAGAGAGAGAGAGAGAGAGAGAGAGAGAGAGAGAGAGAGAGAGAGAGAGAGAGAGAGAACAGGTAGGTCTCCAACCTAGAGGCTGGCCTCATGCTACTTCCATCGATAGGATTAGCAAAATCGAATGAATTTACCGCTAGAACATGTAATTATACATTGCCACACGTGTGTGTGTGTTGTCATATTCGCTATACACTAAAAAAAAACATGTGTGTGTGTGTGTGTGTGTGTGTGTGTGTGTGTGTGTGTGTGTGTGTGTGTGTGTGTGAGAGAGAGAGAGAGAGAGAGAGAGAGAGAGA